GGAAGGACACTGGAGCCATCAGGGTGGCAAAGAGTTTCCTCATTCCAGCCTTTCCTCTCCATGCTGACAGGCCCTGTGGAGCTGTGTGAAGCTGTGCAACCCAAAATGATCTTCCTGCTCCAGCTCGCAGAAGCTCATGACAGATTTTGCCGCTTGGTGGCACYAAGCTCAAAGGACAACATGTCTGAGCAGGTTCTGATGCCCASCARTGACAGGTCCTGTCCCAGGATGGGTGAGCAGGAGCTTCCCCCCKWGCTTTCCCAAGCTATTTCTGGGCCTTGTGTGGGATATGCTGGGAAAGAGGGAGCGTGGCTCTGCTCCCACATGCGAGGGGCTGTGCACAGGGGTCAGGGCTGCTCACTCAGAGCCAGGCCAGCAGCATGTAGGGGAGAACTTGATGTATGATGGGAGACGTTGGATGTTGATAAATGTCCCTTTCTCCACCTGCTGATTTTGCTGTTATGCACTGAGTGTAAACAGCTGGAMAGATGTCATGTGCTGGGCTCACAGTCCCCCCAGCCTGCAGTGACACATGGCTGTCCACGGTGTCACCTTTGCCTCTGCTCATGACAGTACTTCCATGTGCCATGGGCATCTTCTCTTCCAACTCAATGGAAAGTGTTTTTCGTCTTTATGTTGCTCTTTGCTTCTTCGGTCCTTAGGCTAAAATACCTTGATTTCTAGAGATAGCTTCTCCCTCCCACAGGGTGATTTCTTGCCTCCTGACCTTTTTATTGACAGAAGAATGATTCAATTTCTGCTACTGCTGTCTGGAAAACTCTGGGAGCTGATCACGTCTTCTTGCATCTCTAACAGACAGTGTGATATGAAAGAATGAGGCTCCCTCTGTGGAGTTTCCCTTTACAAGTGAGAGCAGGAAACAATTATTGAGGAGATGTACATATCAGTGGTGCTACCTCATTTACTTTTCTGCTCAATGTTGTGTTGTAATGGAACAAAACTTTCTGCTCCACAGTGAAGAGATGGTGAAGAGATGAATGCCCATTCAAAATTATAAATATAATGCAATGCTTAATCAATTAGAATATTTAAAGATAGGAAGAGAATAAATCATGAACAATAAAACCTTAGATCGTTTTTGATCCTGGGAACCCTGAGGTGATACAACATCAGATGGACCTCTCAATTAGGACACAGGATGCTGCACAAATCCCATCTGAGGTGAGGTTCATCAGGATTTTGCTTTTATAAATATTACAGGGTTTTTCTCAGAATAAAATAATTTTATTCAATATTCTTACTGTCAAGCAAAAGGACGTTTACATGAGAAATTGCTATTTCACTTTTAGACAAAGGTGAGGCCACAGAGGAAGCTGGTGCCTTCGTGCACGAGAGTGGGAAGCTCCTCTTGTTACAATTAGCCAGCCGGGTTAATGCTGCAGCCAAGGAACATGGGCAGCACAGCACAGGCTCGTACCTATTTAGGTTAGCTGTTAAGCACATCACTAATGCCTGCGTGCACAATAGTTCCCTGCACAATAGTGCTTCTGCAGATGGCAGTAGACTGCACAGCACCCAGCCACAGAGCCAGGATCCAGCTTTGTTTTGCCCTAAGATGCAGAGCTCCAGCTTAGTTTTGCCCCAAGATGGGCCATCCTAGGGGAAGCATCAGGAGAGAATGTGGACTGATCCTCTTTTCCACAAGCTTGCGGGCAGTCGGTCAGCCCAGGAAACATGAGAGGACAGTCATTCCCCCGAGGAGGGAACTGCATAATGAGAGAGGAACTCGCCAAAGATAAGTCGACTGCAAAGGGCAGAAGGGAGCCCTCATGAAAAGCTTTTGCTAACATAAATGTTTCATTTGCTCGGACTAGAGCAGTCTCTTTCTTCGGGATTCCTATCTGGCAATGTGGCTCGTGCACGCGCTTATTTCTGCGCACGAGCCCTTCCTTCTAGGAACAGCCCAGCTTAGGCCAGGTATGACGTGTGCGCCAGTGCCTCCCCCTCGGCGGAAAGGCAGGCTGGGGCACSGCAAGCTGGCCAGCGATTCCCAGAAAAGCAGATGGTCTAAGCGGCTGCGTGGTTCTGCTGTCCTCCTCCTGACTCACAGATAACATAGGGACAGACGTGAAGAGACAGCAGAAAATAAAGAGTCTTGAGAGCTGAAGCACATTTAAAATAAATCACCTAATTTCAGTGGCCAACTTCCTAAATGATGGAGAAAGACAGGCCTCCCCTGCTCCAGGCTCAAGATGTAGAAGACAAAGTAGAAACATTAATGGTAAGAAACAGTGGAGAGAAACTCGTGCTTTTGAATGCTGCTGTCTCCAGAACATGACCTTTATCGGGGAGAAACGGGAAGGAGAAGTTAAAACACCATGTTATAGATGTTCCCTTTGCTCTTGTCTATGTTTATCAAGTTAACTAGGGCTTTTATCAAGTTTAACTAGGCCTGTGCATTGCAGCAGTTTACTCGCTGYGTATCTAACCATGTGAGGAAGGCTGTAGCACAGCGGGGATGTGTCGGGGCGGGTGGAATGGCGCTTGCTGTTTTCACGCACTGAACTTGCAGTTCGTGCAACCGGCAACGAGGAGGCGGCCACTGCGAGCGCAGTAACGGCCACGGCGAGCGCAGTAACGGCCGCGCTGCGGGCCCTCGGGGCGAGTGCGCATGCGCCGCGCGGCGCCCCGCCCCGCCACCGCCCG